TGTGGATCATTCACTTTCTTTGGAGTTATCCATGCAAAAAATTAATGCTGGTCTTTCTTTTTGCTTTATTGAATATCCTATCCGATGCTTGAAGTTCATATGATCGATCAATTACATTTTGTTTTAGTCATCTGTGTGCATGCCCTTCAGCTCTTTATCTTTCCTCCCAAGTTTAGCATGCTGCACAGTTTAGATTGTTGATAAGCTTGTACTAACCCACCTTCACCTTTAAAAAAAGATTGTTGAAAAGCTTGTAACAAATCACCCTGAGATCATAATATAATATTCTAAACATTAGATTTCATGCTTAGTGCTAATAAACATCTTAGTTGACCTTTATAAAAACAAGAAAAAATCATACCCGTACTTGGCAAACCTGATATGTTCATAGAAATCTGCGCCTTACTTACCTATAGCTTTTCCTTTTGTCTTTGTCATTATTAAGGTTAAGGAATGAGAATTTCTCATTCTTTTTTTGGATAGATAATTAAGTCCTAGTTCTGATCTAAAATTTGATCCTCTAATTGTACTGACTAGTTCAAGTTAAGATTACAGGTCTGTAGACTGTAGGCATGTCTTGGTATTTTCCTTTATCTGATGATCAATTGTCTTGCTCTCGAAATGTGTACACTACTTATATGACATCAATTTCCCTGGCTTGAGGCTCGATTGAACGAAATATAAATAAGAGATATGTCAGTGATTCATATGCGATGCTACTGCTTGTTGAGGCCTTTCAGCCCACATATCTACTAAAAAATACATTTGAGTGCCAAAAGTGTTTAGATGTATTGCTTACCTAGTTGGATCTCTAATTATTTGTGGATTTTCCAAATGAAGAGGAAAGGTTGCACTTTGTTTTCAGAAACTTACTTTCTTGGTTTTATGCTGTGAAGCTGGACTAGTTTCCCTGGTTGTACTGCGTGATGTTGCCCTTGTTGGTGGTGCGGTATATAAAAGAGCTAGCATTTTAGAGTGGAAGGTGACGTTGGGTCTGCCGAAGATTCTGTAATAGTAATCTGCAGTATTGTTTTTGCTCATATTACTTGGTTTAAACATTGTTTGCAGTGGTCAAGCTGGTATGAATTCTTCAACCTTGATGGAGCCCGTCCTCAGAAAGTTGAGCCTCTTTTGATAAGCAAGGTATATCACATGTTCATTGAAGCTCTTTTTAGGCAACATTGGAAAGGAATAACTGAGAGGATAGCTTGTAATTTTACACGAACAATTTTGCAATATATTTCCCGGTTCATAAGTAAAACAACATATTGTATCTGGGATTATGGGGTCTGTGGAGGGTGGTGTGTGTGCAGACTTTACCTCTACCTTGTAGAGATAGAGAGGCAAACTAGTATTCCAGTTCATAACTAAATTGAAACATGTACAGGTAAATACAGTTCTGCAATTGGCCCTTGTTGCTGCAGCTCTCCTTCAACCGGATCTGGGTAATGCGGAAACTCAAACATATATCACTTACCTCAGGTGAGTTACAACTGTACCTCTTTGTTTTATTTCTTCACAAATATGTAGTACTCAATACCATTCTGGTTTGTTGCAGTTGGCTAGTAGCCATGACAACTGTAGGTTCAACTGCGGCCTATGGAGCACAACACCTTAGGGGTGGAGCTACATGGAAGAACAGACTCTAATTGGATACCGAATACCTTAACAAAAACAGAAAAATTAAATTGCCTGCTTCTACCAGATTTGTTTCTTTCCTTTTCTTTTTGCCACATGAGATGTCAAAGTAATGTTATAGTTTTTGTTGTGCACTCAATTCTTAGGGAACTGTTCTATCAGGAAATAAAAAGTTCTCTCTCGTATTTACGTTGAAAGATTTTAAATAAGCTCAAAGCATGATATAATTCAACAGCTAACTTGATTATATCACATGAGAAGGAAGAGCAAACCCCAATGGGTAGCGCCTAAAAGTCTCTTCTACATTTTTTCCCCAATTTTATTGAACTTTTAGAAGGCAACCAGTTTGTTTAAAGTTAAACTGTACTAGTAGTATCAATTATTGGCACATTTAAATAGTTTTGACTTCCAAGAATTTAGTTGACCTAACATTTAAAATTGAAATTCTAAAATATCTACTTTCAAGAACACAATATTATGAAATTCTGATATAAATCTTTTCCAAGAAACAAATAAAATACTTTTAACTCTGTTACCATCTATATGTACCCAATAGAACTATCACAACCTAGATAAGTTGGTAAACTCACAAGACAAATGCAAAAGCTTTCATGTTAAAACAGTATCTCTAATATGTACCAGCCAGAGTCTACATTGGCTATAAATCTCCAGTTCATCAATATCAACTTTATAATCATTTCAGAATAGAGCAAGGTGAAGTAAAAGTAAGAACACAACAGTCAAGCAGTAACAGCAACAACAGTTGGATAGTGAGAAACCAAAAGGCACAAAAGCAGTTATTGTGCACAATTGCTTTAATAGAGAAAATGTAGAGCTTTCGGATCGCGCTCCTACAGGCTGACAGAATAAGGTAAAGACAGCATCACAGCGCCTGCTGTAACTATCAAATTTTCCATTTCTAAGAATGCAGGTGATCATGTTAGTTATCAAAAGCTTAGACAAGCTGTTGTCAAGGGTATTAAGAACATAACATTCCCAAAGACATGCTATCTGCTAATGTTAACTACTTCAGCTGTAGAAACAGTATGGTATAGTATAAAAGCCCTCATTAAATTCATTACCTAAAAACAAATGTGAATACAGCAGTAAATATTAATATCACATGCTACTGAATAGGCGATAAAACAGCTTGTTCGCCAAAAACGTTAAGCCAAATGACATGTTACTTGGTTGGAAGCAAAGCACATATGAATAAAGACTCCGAATGCTAATTCCAAAAGAGAACCAGGTAAATAAGATGCAATAAAATGATATCCTTAGCACTGATGAAACACATAACCAAGTTCCCAAGGAACTCTGAATTTTTCACTTTATTACGATCATGGGCATGCTGCAACCAGAAAACTGTAGTATACCATGTTTATTTTCTCTTCCTACTTGGGCAATGCCTCTTCAATGTCATTCCACTTCTCGACGTTTCTCGAAATCTTCTCCTTCACTTGAGCTATGACTTCCCGTGCTTCATCAACCTTTGAAATGCTAGCCAATCCTTCAACAAGAGACTTCATGGTGGAAAAATTCGGAACCCATCCATCAGCCAAACATTTTTTATACATCTCCAATGCAGCTTCAAAATCCCGACTTTGACACAAATAATACACTAATGTAAAATAGCATTCAGCATCAGGTTTCAATCCACTATTAACCATCTTCTGAAACATACTCTTCGCCTCTTCCAAATTACCTTCCTTGCAAAAACCAAGTATAAGATGGCCATAAGTTGCACAATTCGCCTTCAAGCCTCTTGATAAAATCCCATCAAGTAACGCCTTAGCCTCCCCGGACTTCTTAAGCTTACATAAGCTCTGAATCCTTACATTATACGTACTAATCCCCGTAACCATCTTATATCCCTTCATCATTTCCAACATTTTCCCAACATCTTCATACTTCTCCTCCTTATAAAACCCAGATATACAATTCCCAAAAGACTCTGCATTCGGCTTAACATTGTTCCTCTTCATTTCATCCAATATTGAATAAACAGAACTAGCAGAACCTGATTCACAGAACCCTTTGATTACCACATTGTAAGTATCTAAATTAGGAACAAACCCATACTTTTTCGGGAATTCGACAAATACCCTTTTCATTTCAGCATAATTCTTAGCTAAAACACAAGCAAACAACAATGCATTCAGAGTTCTCTCAGTACGTTGAATACCCATTTTCTCCATCTCCTCAAAAGTCCTCTTAGCCTCATCAAGCAGTCCGGCCTGACCGTAAAGAACAATGAAATGGGAAATGAACCGCTCCGATTTCAAATCAGGTCGGGTCGTTGATTCCTGGAGAAATGAACGTATACCGGAGAAATGATTGAGATCTTTGAGCTTGGAAATGGCTTTGGAATATGCAATGCGATCGAGATGGGATTCAGGGGTTAAGGCAGCTGCACGGCAGATGTCGAGGATCCGCTGTGGGTTGGTTTCGGATTTGAGGAGAGTTAGGGCGGCGCGTGATTTGTCTTTGCCGGAAAGTGGAGATTTGGAATCGGGATTAAGGATGGAGGCGGCGGAGTAATGGCGGAGGTGGTGGTGATGCTGAGAGGTGATGAATCGGAGCTTGCTGCGAAGTGCTGCCATGGCTGTTAGGGTTTCAGATTTTGGGGTTTAGGGGTTTAGACTTTATGACTCTGAACTGGAATATGACCTCTTTTGTTGGGGTCTTACACCTTTTTTGAATATTACGTTAATTTTAATTGTTACTTAAAATTGTATAGTATTTAAATTTATGAATCAAGAGACTTATATTATGTAAAACATTGATTTGGAAAGAATAATTAAAATAATCTTTAATATATAGATAACAATTCTTTGTGATTGTAAAATAACTATTCTTTATTTCGATTATGATAGCATGTGTCATCAAGATATAAAAAGCATATTAACTTACAATCATCCTCATCTTTCTTCTATTTATTAATAAATAAGCAAGCTTTAATATTAATATTGTATCGACACACAAAAAAAAAAAAAAAAAAAGTTGACAAAGAAATTCCATGTTGTAATATATAATCATCAAAAAATTTAGAATCAATTCATGGATCTCTCACTAATAAGGATGATAGTGGAGTGATAAATATTCTTTTATTCTTAATCACATGTCTCAAAGTAGGCGAACTACAAAGAACATTTTATCCGATATGAATTTAATCGAACTCCAATATACTACCGAACACCTACCCCTGGGACCCCACTCTTGTGTCCATTGTTCTTTTCTAGTTGTCATCATATGATTCTACCCATAGCACGTCAACACGTTCCTCTATAAAATCTCTCTCTTGTTTTTTTTTTTTTTTCTTCAAAATTTTTTCTAGTAGTTTTGTATTAAAGTCCTAAAATTTGCATTTTTGACTTTGTGGGAAGCAAAGAAAAGAGAACAGAAGCTGAAATGACAAGAATTACAGTTGAATTGGGTCTGCCATCAAAGTGGTGGGATGAGATCAATGAATCTGTTCAATGGCAAGATGGAATTTTTTACTCTCTCTCTGCTGCTTTTGCTCTTGTCTCCACTGTTGCTCTTGTAATTATTACTATCTCTCTGTATCTTTATTGGATTGGTTGTGAGTAATTGTCAAAACTTAGTTTTTTTTTTTTTTTTCTGTTGAAAAGGGAGCATGTTTATGATTGAATTGCTGTTTAGTTGATGATTTGAAGTTCTATACTTGCTGCAAATAGGGATGTTTGGTGGCTAAAGTCTTGGAATGGAATACTGTGGAATCTGAGTATTGGGTTTAACTTTCAGTTTTGATTTTGTTTGTTTACTTTGTTGTTGTTATTTTTTGTTCACTCTCTTTTTTTCTCTTTTTAGGAGCATATGAAAAGTAGGATTGACAATGGTTGTTTATATAGTTTGAAAATATGATATTCAAATATTTTTGGGACTTCCACTCACAAAACTTCAAATTTTTCCCAAATAAAATGCATGTCCAAACACAACTTCAAATTCCAAATTACAACTTCAAAAGCTCAAATTTTCTAGTTTTTGAACGACAAAATCAATGGCCAAGCAGGAGCATAGTATAGTGTACTTGAGGATTCCACATAAGGTATATAGAAAGTTTTTAATAATTCTAGTCCATGGCTCAAACTGATTCTAACACATTGAATTGACATGGTTAATTGCAAGGGTTGGGAACATGTAGGTTAGATTAGATTGTAAACTTTATAAATATTGAAATGCAATAATTAAGATCAGAATTTATAACTCTGTCCTTTTCGGTTTTGCTCCCTTGAGCTATCTTCTGTTTGACGCACTATATAAACATGGTTTAGTGGCAAATGGTTGCTTTTGATAGCTGTTATCCGAGTTATCGTTGACCAATTTATTCTCTAAATGCTTTGGTAAGTTGTCTGATATAATTTCATTGTCAAAATGTTTAGTGTTTTCTGAGGTTTGTGATTGGTATATAGTGAAGTTGTTTGGCACCCAAGGGTGTGGCCTGAGTGGTCAATAGAGTGGGTTGAGCACCATGAGGTTTCAGGTTCAAATCCCAGCAAAGACAAAAAGAATAGGTGATTTCTTTTCATCTATTCTAGCCTTGTTGGACAGAGTAATTTGGTACCTGTTGCTTGCGGGAGGAGATGGTATCCCGTAGAATTAATCGAGGTGGACTCAAGGTGGCCCGGACACCATGGTTATTAAAAAAAAGATACATAGTGAAGTTGTTTGGTGTGTGTTATGAGGTTTAAATCATTTCTGATGAGCATACAGTTCTCATGTACCATGACTTATCAGTTGCATGCCATTAGTTAATGGATGTGTTTTACCTACTTTCGTGGTGGTGTATCTCCATGACTCTCTATTGGTTGTGGGGTTTCTGGTTAAGTGTATGTGTTGACCATTTGCAGATTCAATTAATTAGAATAGAGTTGAGAGTACCTGAATATGGTTGGACAACACAAAAGGTTTTCCATCTCATGAACTTTGTTGTAAATGGAGGTAATACAATTGCATAAGTAACTATCTTGTACTTTTTGCCTTAGTGAATTAACTTTAATGTAAATCTACTTTTCTCAGTTCGTGCCGTTGTCTTTGGATTTCACAAAGAAGTGTTTCTGTTCCATCCCAAGGTAGGTTCTGCTGTGTGCATGTTTTGTTACAATAGCATTTGACAATGTGTGTTTACTTGAATATATTGCCTGTTTAATATTCATTCCTCTCAGGTTTCTTACCTGTTAATTTTGTTGTTTCTGAAGTTAATGTCCCCCCGTACTGACTAATCTTATAGTCTAATAGTAATATACTGTCAATAACGGGCAGCCTTATATGTTAACGTGAGAGCTTATTTGATTGAAAATTCTTTGTTTCATATTACTTCTGAAGGTTGTCATATTTACTCCATCTTCTATGGGTATCAACTATAGGGACTAGTCCGAATTGTTGCATCTCTGCTAGTAATATTTAGTTGTTACCTCCAACATTTAGCTCTAAAATCTTTAGTTCCCTATGTATTATGCTAAGGGAAAATTAATCCACCGATAGCAACTCAATAACCATGGTTTTCCATCACTTAAAGTTGAAATTATCTTTATCTTTTACTTGATTATATTGGTGCATAAATAGTTGCTACCATCAAACTCTAGCTTGACACAAAGCTGTTGGGTGGTCATAAAGGCAAGAAAACATGCGATATTTACATTAGAATAAGATTTCATTTTGCAAATGTAACTCCAGGGCTCATTGTTGTGATAGCTGTTTTATCCATTATTATGTTTTTGGTGTTGATGATGTGAGAAGAAGAATTTAATACATACCACCACCACCATTTGAGCTGCTTCTTAACTGTTTCCCAATTCATGTTAACATTTACTCCATGTTAAATCAGGTGTTGACTTTGGTATTATTGGATCTTCCGGGCCTGCTTTTTTTCTCAGCATATACACTTCTTGTTCTATTTTGGGCTGAGATATATCACCAGGCAAGTGAATTTGTAGCATCCTCTAGGCGTAGTATTGACCCATCAATTCTAACTGTTGTCTTTCTATAAATGAGCAGGCTAGAAGTTTACCAACAGATAAGCTGAGAACCTCCTATATTTCAGTAAATGGTGCAATCTACTTCATACAGGTTCGCAACATACTTCGCCTCCTCATTTACTAATGGCCTTTGAAGTTGCTTAGTAGGGATATATGCTGGACTAGATATTGGTAATTAATCTTTTTATAATGTATTTATTTTGCTTTTAGGGATATGAAATATATTTGAGATATCTAAGGAATCCATCAATCTTTGGTGCTGTGTTCTAGTCAATAACCACTTCGATTTAGGTGGTTGTTTCTCATGAATATCAAGAGCTTCTCAGTCCTTTAAATGTTGGGTCCTATTCATCTTAGATGAACATGCTTTGTAAAATGGAGTTCTTTTTTTCTTTTTCCCCGACACAAAACTAGATGTCCTTTCCGCTTTCAATGCCTTCCTTAGAATTTTCAACAACAATAACAACATGCCCAGTGTAATCCCACCAGTGGGGTCTGAGCAGGGTTAAGTGTTCACAGTCCTTATCCCTACCTCGTAGAAATAGAGAGATTGTTTTCGATAGACCCTCAACTTAAAAAATGAAAAGGGGATACATGTATGGGAGCAATAAAAACAACAAAATAATGCAAAATGGAGAGTAATACACAACAAACAGGAGTAAGAGCAGTAACAAGAAGAAAATAATGCTATCATCGGAGCACAAAAAAACACTAGCGATAGCCGAAGTCAAAGATCAAGAAGCTACGAGAATAATACTAATACTACTGGTAAGAAGGAAGGTTCACTTATGACCATCAAGCCTATCTCACAGGGAGGCAAGAGAAACACTCAACTACCAACTAACTTTCTGCTCCTAATCCACAACCTCCAAACTCTCCTATTTAAGGTCATGTCCTCGGTAAGATCAAGATGTGCCAAGTCCTGTCTAATCTGTCTAACCACTCTGCTCAAATTGTACCCCTTTGTTTTTCTGAAACAGAGGATATCTTTCGTCTTTATCTTGTAAAGAATTTAGAGAACCATGGCAAATTTGGCCTCGAAACAAGGCTCACATTATCGTAATTCCTGGTACGTCCCATTCCACTAAGAACAGAATATTGTCCGTTATTCTTGATTTCTAGCTGAATACCTGAACCAACTCCCGTCTCCCTTGCACCAAGTGCTATCGAGTCTGTAGACCTCTATCTCAATATGTATACCTGAAAAAATGGTTTGCATCAGGCTTGTATCTGGGTGTACCTCTGGATGAACAACAATAGCACTGTGGAATTCATTGGGAAGATATTCATAGCAGGTGAATCTTTATATTCATTTTCTCTCATACATTGAAGGATTAGAACTGTTTTCAGAGTTTAGTCTTTCTCCTTAATCTAGCATTTCATTACATTTGGTGCAGTTGTATCATTTCTAGCTGCATTAGGCTTTTTGCTGTATGGAGAAAGGTGAACTAACTGCACACATTTATCTTCTTAAGCCAAACAACCTTATGTCATTGACCGTGGCTTAGACATTACTGATTTTGTTGTATACGTCTTCTTGTGGACTTCATCTTTTTACTATCATCAGGTTATTTTCTATGTTGAGATGCTTCCCCATTGAATCTAAAGGGAGAAGAAAGAAGCTTCATGAGGTTTGCACTTCCACCCATTTGTCTTCTTACTAGGTGCAAAGAACTTGTTTGGTGTTCTTTTGAACTGATGTAGTGCAGTAAATGCATTTTAAAAAAATCCAGAAAAAAACAAAATTCTTTTCTTTAAACTTGGAAGTCTAGGAGTAGTTATGGTTTTGCTCATTCTCTTCTGGAACTTTCTGCTTTAACAAAAATGTAAACTTGCTATAACAGCCATATTTGACCCAAATATCTTCCTAAGTTGAATAAAACAAGATAAAGTAGTTTATTGCTTCTCTGCAGATTATGGCTATAACAAAAACAACAACGACATACCCAGATGTAATCCCATAGGTGGGGTTTGGGGAGGGTAGAGTGTATGCATACCTTACCACAGTCCCCTGAGAGGTAGAAATGTTTTCGAAAGACCCTCGGCTCTTGTTTGCCAAAATGGATCCACTTTTAAGTGCTTTTTTTTTTTGGGGGGGTGGGGGGGGTGGGGGTGGGGGGTTGTTCATCTACAGATGAACAATAAAGAATTGGGCAGCCTGGTGCACAAAGCATCCCGCATCCACGCAGGGTACGAAGAAGGGCCGTGATGTAGACAACCTACCTAATCCAAGCATTAGTGGTTGAACAATAAAAAACTATAATTGATAAATATGGAATCTCCCTGAGGTTCTTTGTTAGCTAATGGAATGCCTGTATTTTGTAATTGAATTGGAGGATGAAATGCATACACAAATTTTCTACACCTACAGACTTCAATGAGACATTTTCTTGTCCTACCTACTTATTCTTTAAACCCTTTTACATCTAACAATTGAACTATTCTCTTGTTGATTTGATATGCTTTTGTCAGGTGTGAAGTCTCACTTATGTTAGAGTTAAATAAATAAATGCATGCATAAATGTTATAATTAATGCATGGTAGTTCTCAAGATCTCTTATTATGTGGTGATTTACATGGACATGGCATATGCGTATGATCGCAGGTTGGATCTGTAACTGCCATTTGTTTCACTTGTTTCCTCATTAGATGCTTTGTGGTAAGGCCCTTTTACCCTCTCCTTTTCTCCCTAAATATTGTTTGCCTTTTATTTTCGGCCTTTTAATGGCCTCTTAACAACAATAACAACATACCAAGTGTGATTCCACAAGTGGAGTCTGGGAAGTGTGGGGAGTACGCAGACCTTGCCTTTACCTTGATGGGGTAGAGAGGTTGTTTCCAATAGGCCCTCAGCTCAGGAAAAACATTTTCCAAAACAGGTTTAAAAACACAAGACTGAAAAAGCTATGATGAAAATATTGGAAAAAAGTAAAGTATTGACAGCAAAAATAGTAGGATTTGAAGTACATGTTGTAAATACTGACCAGTACAGAAAACTGTACTGGTTTTTGAGGAATAGACAAAGTTACCAATTTCAAAAAATAGTAAAAATAGTCAAAGTAAGAAACAACAGTAGTAATAAAATTGAAGAATAAGATAATGACAGAAAACTCTCTTAGCTCGCACAGGTACCAAGATTTTTATCGGTTGCTTTTGCAAGCCGGAGGTTAAATATTGTAGCTATTTTAATACAACAAGATGCAAGTTATGCTCACCCTTCCACTCACCTCCTGGAGAAGGAAAAGAAAATAGAACGACTCTTTATTACATTATACATAGCACCAAGAGTAGAAATTTGTTACAAAAAAGGTTGGGTTTTATAGCAACTGTTGCTTTGATCTTTAGAGTCAAACTCGCTTTAATTCCTTAGTAACAGCTCCTATCTTATCTTAGGAAAAAAAACAGTTCCTTCAGAATTATTATTATTCAGCCAATGATCAAATCCTCTTTCAAATTACCTCAAGGTTTTTAATCTCTATGCCAGCAGCTTTCATACCTGTGGAGCTTCTTTATTGCTTCTAATCTTTCTCAATGTAGGTTGTGTTATCGACTTTTGATGCTGATGCATCACTAGATGTCTTGGACCACCCAGTTCTGAATCTGATATACTACATGGTACACATCGTTTCCTTTTCCATGCTCCTTGAACACCCTCTGAACTTGAGATGACATTATTCTTCCCTGTGGCAGCTTGTGGAAATTCTTCCTTCAGCTCTTGTGTTGTACATCCTGCGCAAACTGCCTCCGAAAAGAGTATCTGCTCAATACCACCCTATTCATTAGCTGCAGTGGACATTTATCTTCAATCCTACAACCTTCCAATGGTTGCAGCAATTGAAGTTAGTGTAGTTCTGCACGAGGTATGGAGCCGCACAGAAAAGGATCTAGGAAGTATAAATTGTGGAAAGGCGCGGTTTGCCAGTTGCAGATAGCTGTTGTGCTTACATTTCTGTTACTTTTGTGGTTTGAAGACACAAATTTTAGAATTTTGTGTACTAATTGAATAAAGAAAATTAGGAAAATTAGTGCCTTGCTTCATGTACTGTACTATAGTATCTCTTTGTATTTTGTCATCCAAATTAACCAAGTGATGAATATGATATCCTTGAAGTGACTTGATATACTCATTTCAGATTGTTGTTGTCAGTTTCATTTTGCTTTCTAATCTAGTTGTTCTTAACGGGTTCCCACCTAGTCATCTGATTCGACTAATTTGGATTTGCGTCGTGAAAGCCAAAGGTAAAATCTATACAAGCATAAACCATTGTGATTAGTGTACTGTTAAAATTTATGCCATTGATTGTGTGGAACATTAATAGGAAGCATCTCCACTGGTTCTTGATCAGTAAAGGAAAGATTAACTCAATTGGTTTTATTTTTAGTTGATGTTAAACGAAGAAATTGACTTAACATCTTGGCATCTCAAGAAGAATATACATAAATTTTAGTTCATTTCCCTTAAATGTGGCACGATTCGAATTTCAAGAGTCAAACAATTTAATTAGTTGAGGCTAACACATATTGACTTAGACACCACAATTATAAAAACAAAGTGAGTACTAAATTGATGTTAGGTCACAATGAAACAATAGGAAACTAGTTCAACCAACAAATTGACACGATCTAGCAGCTAGAAAGATGACAAGTGTGTTGAAAATCAGGTTATAGTAAAGGTGTTTATCACATGGTTCGATTTGGTCTTTGCCGTTAGCAATTTAACTATTAGTTATCACTTTTTATATGTGCTAAACCGTCACCGAATCAATAAGATATCAATCGATTCGGTTCAATTTAATGATTATCGATTGATCTATTAGCTTATCCGTTATATAAATTAAATCAAAGAGGAATATCTTTTATGTGCTCCACTAATGACTTATTGTCGAACTATCTGAATCCATCAGATGTCATCTTTGCTATCGTTGAAGAGTACAACTAATAGTTATGAATTGATCAACTATTAAAGACAGACAATCTATTCACTAATTAATAACCATTACTTATAAAATTTCAAATCAGTTGCAAGTCATTAATTCATGAACCAGATAATGCTCAAATTATCGATTATGGTTCAATTTTGAACACCATAATTGTTAAAAGAATTTTCATGTATTTCTAAATTTAGAAGGTTTGAAAATTTTACATGCCCATAGTGCCCTTGTACAGTAGCATCAGCTACAAATTATCTCTTCCCCACTCCTTCCAATTTTCTCTCTCACATCATCCACATATTTTCCTCTAGGGTTTCAACACGATGCAACCGGCGGCAAGTTCAATGGTTCCACCACCAATGGCGGCGCAACCACAGTACCAACAGCAGTGGATGGCTCAGCAGCCGCAGTACCAGGTTCTGCCACCGCAGTCCGGTTATTACTACCAGCAACCACCACCGCAGCAGGGCGGCGGAGTACCCCCACCGCAGCAGCAGCAACAACAATCTCAGTACACGGCTTCAGCTCAGCCGACCAGTGCTGATGAAGTCCGGACGCTTTGGATTGGAGATCTACAGTTTTGGATGGATGAACAGTACCTATATAATTGCTTCGCGCAAACTGGAGAGGTATAATTAAAGTTCATGAAATACATTGCTTTCCATTTATCGTTATTAGAGAATTACATGTATAAGGACCGGTTTATAATGACATTTTTATATGTTTTCTAATGATTCTGTCAAGACATTCAAATTATGCTTTGCACATAGGCTGATTTAGTTGTTTATGTAGAGTGTAGACTATATCAGAAAATATTTCTTTTTGATAAAGGTAATGACTATACCAGAAAATATAAGCAACTGAAAAGCTATGGTAAGGACTTTTGCATGTTCTAGATATGGCTGCTAGTATTTAATGTGAAAAACTAAGTCTTTTGGGGGAAGATTGGATCTTTTTTAATTTTTCTTGAGAATTGTTTAGTGTTCATATGATTTGGACTGATTTCTCCAGAGTGTTTTGTATGTGTATTCGAGGAAAGTGAATACTTCTCCAATGGTTTTTATATGCAGGATTCTGTACCACTTAAAAATATGGAGTTTATATATGCAGTAACTTGTATTATGTTTTTGGTTAAAAGCAGTTAACTTTAATACAAGTGTAGAGGGGTTCCCCATATATTAATTTAAGCAGAGCTTATTGTGAGCTATAACATAGTATATTTATATCAATTTCCTCTATTCATGTAATTAGTGTGCAGGAAAATATTTTCTTAAAAATTCTTCTTGAGGTTTCAGTGGCAACCATTTGGAAGTGCATATTTCTTCTTTGTAACTGATTGCTGCTAATTTTCTGAGTAGGCAAGTCCATTGGTTCTGGGGTACCTGTATATATGTTATGAGACAAACTGTTGATCTTTAAGTTTTTAGTATGGTACTAATCCTATCATTGGTTTGGTATCTTTGATTTTATAATTAATGGGTGGACTCCCCTGGGAATTGAGGGGTATATCTTACCAACAATTTTTTTGGTGAATGTCTTGCCACTAAATTTGAGATTTTGAGAATCCAGATATACAACTTGTGATGCAAGTTTATCTCGCGTCTGAAATGCACACTCGTGCGTGCATGATTGTAAGCACGTGCATGAGTTAGAGGGTTTTTGGATTGGCTTATTCTAAGTGCTCTTGGATTGTAAGTTCTTATTTCATTTTTTGTAGTGTTGGGAAAGATAAAAAGTGCTTTTTAGCACTTACTTTTAGGCCCAAAAAGCACAAAATAAGCCAAAAGCTAAAAGTTGGGTATGACTAACTTATAACTTCTAGCTTTTAGCTTATAAACTATTTTTAAAAAGTCAATCCAAATACCCTCTTACACTCAGTGTGCATATTAGTGCAACTACTCAGTCCTCTTCTTTACCCATTGCTTGTGGTTGATTGAGAAAACATTAACTTTAACTTTTTATGCAGGTGGTCTCTGCTAAAGTTATCCGCAACAAGCAAACTCAACAATCAGAGGGTTATGGCTTTATTGAGTTTAATAGTCATGCTGCTGCGGAAAGGAATCTACAAGCATACAATGGCACCTTGATGCCTAATATTGAGCAAAATTTTAGGCTCAATTGGGCATCACTTGGTTCGGGTGAAAAGCGTTCAGATAATACTCCTGAATATACAATATTCGTTGGAGACTTGGCAGCTGATGTTACAGATTACATGCTTCAGGAGACATTCAGACCCAATTATCCTTCAATCAAGGGCGCTAAGGTTGTAACAGATAGGGCAACCGGGCACACAAAGGGTTATGGATTTGTTAGATTTGGGGATGAGAGTGAGCAGTTACACGCTATGACTGAGATGAATGGAAAGTTTTGCTCCACTAGGCCCATGCGCATTGGTCCTGCAGCTAACAAGAAGAATGCTGGTGGTCAGATGCAAGGTATATCCAGTCATGTTGTAATGTTCTCGAGTTGTTAAGAACAATGTATTTCATCTAGCTTGCAGTTTGATACTTGTGTTATTCCTAGAGTTTGAAATCTTTGATTTTGTGCTTATTTGTCATAAAGAGCATGAGGTTTGAATTTAGATAGCTGCAGATTCTATTGGTTTATTTTTGGCGTCTGTTTTGGTCTGAATTTAGATAGCTTGAAGGTGCTATTGGCTTATTTTGGGGATCCAGAGTTATCTGTTTTGGCCTCAATCGGTCAAGCAGTGCTTTTATGTTTTGCTTTCCTTAGGTTGTGCTCTTGAGTTTTTGAAGAGAAGTACCAGCTTGTGATGTCATTTCCTTGAGTACTAAAAACTTCTCTCTGAAATATTAAATCTCATAAAACTACGGTTGTCTCTAAGCAGGGTAAATAGGAGGCAGGCTCTATCATTTAGTGGCCTGGAGCTTGTTTCAGCTGAAATGAATATCTTGTTAATCTCAATGTGGCTAAATTTCATCTATCGGGTCCTTTCGGTGTTAATGTTAACAGCTCCAGTTTTTTCTCTTTACTCTGCTCTTGTTTCTTCAGATTACTTTATCTTTACTACTCAGACATTTTACTCTTGTTTATTTCATGTGATTGCCACCAGTGTCACTTTGGTCTTCAGTGTGCCTCCTAAGCTCTCTGTCAGTTTCAATTGTCAACTTAAGATATCCTGGTCCTTTATCTGCTTCATTTGCCTCATGAGTTTGTCTTAGAGATCTCCCTTCACGGTGTTGTGGGGTTTCCTCTCTCCATTACTAGTCAATAATCCATCATTTCACTTTTGAACACAATACATCATATAGTTTGTTTCCGCTAGGTTTTTTAGTAGATTGACATTCAAGTGTGTATAATTTGTAACATGATGTGTAATAACTCAATATTTCTTTCCTTGTTTTGAATAAATCTTTTGAAGTTCTTTAAATAAGTTTTGGTTATTAATTTTCTATATCTCTTTTTCACTTCTGTAGTCAAGACATCTAGAGCTTTAATAAAGATATAAAGGGTGGTGTTTGGATATGTTTTCAGTATCTCTAGATTGCCGGCAAATGTTTTTTGAATGGATTGCAAATCATTGTACTTAAATAATGCCTTTAGATCCCGAATTTACCGTGTTTTGACATAAATATGGCAGAAAGATAGTTCAAAAGTATTATGGCTTATGAAAATCTTGTCTTTGATTTCTGTCTTCTGTTGTATGGACATATACTGAAGAGCTAAAAGCATCATAGTCCGGATAATATATGGTATTCTCGTGTAGATTGGGTCATTGATTAAAAAAACTTGTGCCGATTAAGTTACCTTTATCAAAAAAAAAAAAAAACTTGTGCCGATTGGGTACATAGGCATGACATTGTTCAGAAAATTACAGCACTCCATATAGTCTAGTTACATTTCTGTATTGTCTTTCTTTATTGACAAGTGTCTCATTTTATTAATCTCCGGACAAAGCAAGTGCTGGGGATTTTGTTGTAAAAGAGCAAAAACTCAGTTCTCTTGCTTGACATGTAGAGCCTGTTTGGCCAAGCAGCTAAAAACTGCTTATTATGATAAAGGCTTTTTAAAAAAATACTTTTAGTGAGAACCAATTTGTGTTTGGCTACTTCATTTGAAAGTGCTTTTGATAAGTAGATTGTGTTTGGCTACTTC